TCAGGGCAGGCTTTTTGGAGGACTGAACTTCTGAGCTAAGGGCTGCAGGTATGAGCAGGATGTTCAAGGAGCTGGCAGAACCCAGAAAGGGAGTTGGGGGCCCAGGTCCTGCAAGGCTTCTCAGATTTTGGGAGGGACTTTGGTCTTGGTTTTTAGAACTCTGGGAACCCATCGCAGGATTCACTATTGGAGCTGACATGACTGGGGGGAGAACTGATTGGAAGAACAAAAATGGGTATGGGGGACCAGAGCAGAGGCATTTGTGCAGTTACCCAGGCACATGGGGGCATTTGATTTAGGGGTTGCTGATGGTGATGGGGAAGAGTGAATAGAACTGAGATGCTTAGGAGGCAAAACAGACACACTTGGGAAGGACACTGTGCTACCAGGGCCAATACTTTGGTGTGTGACTTTGACTTATGTGGCAAGACAGATGGTGGCGCTCTTTGCCAAACTGGGGATGCAGGAAGAGCTCCTTGGTTGGCCCATTTTTGAGAGGGTAGGAGAGGAGAGAGAATTTGGTTTAGAGAGTGGTAAGTTTACCTGAGAATAGGAGTTGCGGCAAAGCTGCAGTCTTGGGGACTCATGTCCACCTCTCAGCCCTCACTGTGGGTCCTCTTATTGGGCCGTCTCAGATATCCCACCTATAAGCCAACATCTGTTGCTCTGCCCAGTCAGATCAGTACAACATGTCTTGAGGGCCGCCTTGTCCGGGCTTATCTCAGGCACTTACTGTGCATTATGCCAGGGAACCACTCATGCATGGTTCTGGAATCATTCCAAATACAAGGTGATCAGGCACATAGAGTAAGTGTAATTGGCTTTCAGAGAAGGGAGAGATTAGCTAGGCCTGAGGACTTCAGTGTTTGTGCTTTAAGCAGCCAACAGGCCATTCTTGTCGCAAATACTTACCTTGGCAGGTGGACTTCAATAACTGTAATCAGTTTCTACATCCAGGGAAATGTGACCAAGGAGTAAAAAAATTTTATGGATAGTTATATACAGTTCTGGTAACTTTAGAGGTCAAAGAAAGGTAAAAGATGCACTGAAATAAATATAATGGTAAGGTTACCTCAAGTCCTTCATCATGGTGTGTTTTTGTGTGCATGTGGATGTTAAATTTTCCCCAAGGAGAAAATGGGAATGGTTTGACTTGTACCAAGGTAAAACTTGTGTAACTGAAGGTAGATCCTGACTTAAAAAAAAAAGTTTCAACCTTCTTTTGCTGAAAAAAGAATTGGTACTTAGGTTAAATTCTCTTAACACTCTGTGCAAATGAGTATCCGGGGAGGCAAGAGCATGGCATCCGCGGGAGAAGGGCACTTCCCTATGTTCCTCTAGTCACAGACACCTTTGAGAGCGGTGCCTCAAGACCCAGACTTCTCGCTGCTTCTGTGTCCCTTAGCTGCCTGGTCTCCTCACCCAGAAGAGACAATTCTGTAAGGCAAATACTTGTCCTCCCCAGAAGCTGCCAGTTACGACTGTCTGTCTGTCCTAGCCGGCATTCTGCCTTTCTAGCAACAGATATTTCTGCACAGTAAATATCATTGACCTTTGGCACCTTGGTGTATCTTGCACTGAACATGAAACAGTGGGGTTATATGAGCAGGGTGTCATGAAGCTTGGCATGCACTCAGTGCCGGTACCAGCCTCTCTGCTTTCTCCACTCCTCTTACTGGTGTGTGCATGTTAGATTCCTGTTGCATCACAGTGAAAGCTCCAGAAAGAGATCCCCCTGTAGCTGCATGGCAGAGTTGATCGTCTACGTAAGATTCTACCGGTCGTTTTGGGTTGAAGTAGACAAGAATCAGTGTGTTTTAGGTGATCTTTTTGGTGTCTTCTCCATTGTCCCAAGTAACAGAGAGGGTTTTATCTTAACAGGGTGAGGCATCATGGTGTATCCACATGCTACAAGGATCTTGGCTCCCAAGAGCTGATAGAGTCCTAGATCCCCACGTTTGAGCTGTGTGCCTTTATGTCACTCCTCTAACTTAGCTGAGTTCTCAACACAGGTAGTCCTGCTTACTGTCATTGCAGGATTCATATGTTAGGGAAGAATAACCCAGCCTTGCCTAGAACTGAAGCTTACAGTGTACAGAGTGCTTGTGTAGTGGATCTCCCTGGGTCTCCTGACAACCTAATGGGTTAGGTGGGGCTGACAACTTATGTCAGGCGAGGTGACTAAGAAGTTAGGCCTAACCTAGGTTAGTTACACTTCTAGGAAATGGTGGAGCTGAAATTTGAACACAGGAGCCAGGTGAGGTTGGGGTGAGGGCAAGGGGCTGGGGAAGGGGCTGATCAGCCTACAACCAGGACCCCATGCAAGGCAAGTATAAAGGGGGAGGTTCTTCAAAGTAAGCTTGAGGGACACCTGGGTGGCTCAGTCAGTTAAGCATCTGCCTTTGGCTCAGGTCATGATCCCGGGGTCCTGGGATCGAGTCCCACATCGGGCTCCTTGCTCAGCGGGGAGCCTGCTTCTCCCTCTGCCTGCCTCTCCCCCTGCTTGCGCTGTCTCTCTGATAAATAAATAAATAAAATCTTTAAAAAAAAATAAAGCAAGCTTTAGCCGCTGATCCAAAGACTGGGGAGTGGATGCTGAACAAGCAAAATACCCAGTGTCCCCCTACACCTTTACCAAGATTTCTCTCTCAGACATGAGCCATTCAAGCCCATGGTGAATTTCTTTTCAGATTCCAATAATTGGGATTTTTAGTCTATCTAGCTGTGCTCACTGGCCTACAACCCAGCATGGACTTCAGACCAGTACTCACTACCTAATTCTGTTGTCAAGGGAAGAGGCCTCCTTATCAGCTTTGTGGGGCCTACATGGCTTCTCAGGTTTGTGTTGTGGGGTGTGCTGTGTGTCACTCGACAACAAAATAGGGTTACTTTCTGGTCATAAGCTAATAGACCTGCTCCAGGTTAAATGGGTCCTCCTATGAAAAGGCCCCACAAAGGCCCCGTTGTGCATTATTAGCCACTCCTGGATCCTCATTGAGAGCTGCTCCTGGCAGCACCGCTTCTTGGGTGCGTGTTGGGAGGTTTCCCAAGCCTGCCTTATGTTTCACCTTTCTTCCACTGTGTGGAGATGCTTGTCCAGCTTGAGTCTTTCTTGCCTAGGGGGCAGGCATAGAGGATTGTTAGGTGGATAGAGAAGCAACTCTAGTCTTACTCTGGGCTCAAGCCTTTCTTTGTGAGTTCTGATCAGAAGACATAGTGACTCCAATGAGACCGAGCACAGCCATGCCCACATTGTATACCTGATACTCTTTGGCCTTCTTGGGGGCTTTGTCTTCCACTCTGAAAGGTGATTCTTCCTTTACCTTATCCTGCCTGTGGCCTGCTGTCTTTCCTCCCCACAGTGTTCTGACTTTGAGATGAATCAGTTTCTTTCTTGACTTGCCAGGGAGTGATTTGTATTCTTAGGGAGATCCTCTGCGTGGGTCGGCCAGTTTTAGGAGATGGCTGATTCCTCTGCCAGCATCTTTGGACTTTTTGCCAAGGACTTGGCATTAAAGTGACTGAACCAGGGAGAGACCAGAGACTATTGGCTGGTGGCTCCTGGGTTCTTCTTCTCCACTTCAAGTGTCTTCCTCTTTTGGTGTAGAGCAGAGGGCCTTGCATAAGCCATGCTATCTTGGGACTCACGTCATCCGAGCCTGTAGGAGGGTGGTCTCCGAACAGGAGCCCCTGCTGTCTGTGTGGTAACCCTGAGCCCCAGACCTGAGAGCAGAAGGACTGCTTAGCCGGGCTCTTGCACGGCAGCGGCTGCTTGGAATAAGCTCTGGGATTGGCGAGCTGCACGCCGGCGGTTGAACTTGTACACCCCCCTCCACACATACATTATTCAGCATGCACTGAGCAGGATGCGCTGCCAGGTACACAGAGAGGAAACAAATAAAACCAAAAGGTGGAAAAAAAACATGACCCCTCACTTTAAGGAACAGATCTGGGAACTAAAAGAGAAGAGCGGAAGACCATGGATGCTTTTGTTCCATTAGATTATGTTGATCTGTGAAGCCAGAATCCTCCCAACCTCCTCCCCCTATCTCATTAAAGCCAGTGCAGGTTGCCAATTATGCCTCCTATTTCCCTCCTCTGGGAATTGGACATAATACCATTTCCCCTTCAATAAGGGAAACATCTATGAGGGTAATTTGAATGATTAGCCTAATCTGCAGGAAGGCTGCACGTGGAATTAAGTTAAGCACATTTGTACTGAGCAGCTGTGTCTGTCAGGCCACTTAAAGGTACCTGGGTGGTTTTATACCCTTAACAGAAGCTGAGGGTTCAGGAGGGATCATTGGCTTTTAATACGGCCTTAGATGAAAGCTTATTTTTTAAATTTGACAAGGGTTTCCAAGAGCTTTCTTTATAGATAACATATGTGGGTGTGTTTTTACCCCAACTCAGAACATTGCCGGGGCTTTGTTCTTGTGGCAGCGGGGAACGCGATGACCCAGGGAAATGGTTCAGACGGAAATTTGTCAGGCTGGCTGGTCACTCTCCTCATGAGGGAAACTGAGAGGGTTGTGAGAACTCGGCCTCACGTGTGCTTGAATCAGAATAAAGAGTCCAGGAGCTCCTGTGCCGTGGAATGGGGCACTTCCATGCCCTTTCTTCCCGCTCCCTACCTAATGCCGGACCACATGGGAGGTCTCCGGCAGGGCTGACCCACAGGGTTGTGGATACTGAGATCTGCTCTGACCCACACTTCCTCCTGGATTCCCACCTGTGACAAACGTACATGATTGGACTGTGTGGCTTGAGGAATTAGAACTGGGACTGGAATGGTTAAAGCAAAGTAACAGAAATAGTAACTTTTCAAGCCAGTCAGAATTTCAGGTTAGAAGCAGATGTTCAGTATTTTGAATTTACATTGTGTTTGAAATAGCCTCAGGAACAAATCTAGCTGCTACGTTAGTAGGACTAAAACGTTCAGCAAATATGAAAATCAATTTACGTCAGTAATTCATATTTTTTACTCTTTTTCTTGCTAGATTTGTCTTTGGCGAAGAGGAAATTTGCCGATTCCTTAAATGAATTCAAATTTCAGTGCATAGGAGATGCAGAAACAGATGATGAAATGTGTATAGGTAAGTCTTAACCGTGTGTCTGCTGAGTCACTGTTTATCATAACTGTCACCGTCCTTGCTGAGCCTGTTTCCTGTGAGAGGAAGTACTAAGTGTCATAAATTAAGTCCACACCAACAGTGGAGGGGGCAGAGTGAAGTGAGGGGCTATTCTAGGCTTTTCCTCAGAGTTCTGAGACTGCCTCTCTCTCCCTTGGGCCTGTAGGAGGCAGCTTGAAGGTTTGCAGTGGGTTCTTCTCTCCAGCCTCCTGTAATGTTTTGCTTCTGGCTGTTTTTGTGACTTTTCTTTGCCCAAGTACTACAGAACTGAGAGCAAGAACAGAAGACAGGTAGATGAGGGAAGATTTACAGGTTGCAAATGATGGTTTGTGGGCTGAAATCAGAATACAACCATGTTTTCTTTGGCACTCATTTTTAAAAATCGAATTAACATGTAAATTGAATTTGTGTAAAGTTCTGGTTTTCCATCTCTTTGAAACTTGGAGGATCTGATCAGCTGGCCCCACATTCAGGCCTGGCAGTTAGCTGGAGCTACGTTGCTGCGGCTGCCTTCAGATGGACAGAAGAGCTTGGTGTCCAGCTCCCCTCTGCCTTTCCTTAACCAGAGGCTGAGGGTGGGGTTACTGTTGATTGCTGTGCTGCTTTTCTTTTCACTATTACCTTCTGTCTCTTTTTTTTTTTTTTTAAAGATTTTATTTATTTATTTGAGAGAGAGAGAATGAGAGATAGAGAGCACGAGAGGGAAGAGGGTCAGGGGGAGAAGCAGACTCCCTGCTGAGCAGGGAGGCCGATGCGGGACTCGATCCCAGGACTCCAGGATCATGACCTGAGCCGAAGGCAGTCGCTTAACCAACTGAGCCACCCAGGCGCCCACCTTCTGTCTCTTGTAGGCAATGCTGAGCACAGAGGATTTGCAGTGTCAAGACACCTGTGTCTGGCAGGGTCTAGTCATTGCCCTCTACTCTTCATACATTGGGCATCTTGGTTAGCCCCAGGGGTGAGCAAGGATTGAAAAAGTTGTCATATGCTTATTGAATCCCTGTTGTTACACAGAGTGCCAGGATCTGGGGGTGAGGGAAGGCAGCTGGGAGATAGCTGAGAGCAATGAAAATGCATCACTGTAGTCACTCCTGGAGCTCCCCAACATTACATGTATGTCCTGAATATCCTCAGGGCTACTGGACTTACTGCCTTTTGCCTTTGGAAATAATTCTAGTGGGGACTCTCTGTGTCTGACCACCATGCTGCAGGCTGCATTATATTAATAGGTGGCTTGATGTGGCTTCTGTTGCGAGCTATATTGGTGTAGTTGTGATACCAGAGGAAAGGTTGATTTCTGACACAGTCCCACAGCCACGGTTGAAGAGGTCAAATCCTGGGCAGGAAATCCTTCAACTCCCAAGCAGAACTCTGCTCTTTTCAGCCTATGGTCTGGAAGCTGGCCAGCACCTCATCAGTCCTGGGTAGTCTCAGGAACAGACAGGTCCTTGAAGGAAATCCTTTCCCAGCTAGAGTGCCAGTGAAATTAACCTTCATTCGGGGGTCATCCTGGATGGTTAATGATTAAAAGATAAGGAGAGCCTTGGGAAGCAATTGACTTTAGGATTCTGCATGTGCCAAGGGATTTCAATCCATAACATAATAGCTATACCTGGAAGGCTCCCAAAGGCCCATTTCTCTGTCCCTTTCATGGTACTTTCTCTTTTCCAGCAAGGTCTTTGCAGGAGTTTGCCACTGTCCTCAGGAATCTTGAAGATGAGCGGATACGGATGGTGAGTATGGCTGGGCTGCTCTTGCTCCCATACAGTGTGGTCATGTCAAGAGATTTGTTGTCAGAAGAACTGGGTTCGAGTCCAGCCTCTACCACTTGAATGTTTTGAGCTCTTGAACACGCCTCATCTTCTCATCTTTGCAGGGTTGGAAACATTTCGCAAATGTTAAGGGATTACTGTTGATAACGTTAGAACCACGTTGTTGGCCTCCCAAAGATTCACTGTAAGGTGCACCTGTAAGGTATGACTTATGGGTGGATCTTTTGAATTAGTTAACTTTGGGAGCCTCCGATTCCCTACAGGCAGAGTGGGAATGAAGGTGTCATACTCTGCTCCCTGCTTTCCTCATTTTAGTAAATTTACCCAAGAGCTTTTGAAGGGCACTCCTTCACTCTTTATTCGGAAATGGCTAACCCAGTACCTGCCCTCTAGCATGCACCCAATAAGTGGGCATAGTAAATGATGATAATTACAAGAGGTTCTTCAAAGGGAGGCACTGTACAAAATCAAGAATCAAATGCTGATCCTCAGGTTCTTAAAAGATACCTTCTGTATTCTAATTCTGATGTGGCTGAGCATCAACAGATGAGGGATTCCGCATCCACAAGTTCTTTGCATCCTCTCCTTATCCCTGAGATACCAAGAATGGAGCCTGATTTGAAATCCCCCTGCTGGCTGCATGCTGATTTGTCCCCAGGAAGGCTTGTCCCTAAGCTAATGGTGCTATAGGGGCCTAGGAAGAGTCTATCAGTGATTTTTCCTCTCTTCCCATGCTAAAACTGATCATTTGAGACTAAGTCTACTGTCTTAATATGCTTAGACTGCCATACCAAAATACCATGGGCTGGATGGCTTACACAACAAATATTGATTTCTCACAGTTGTGGAGACTGGGTAGTCCACGATCAAGGAACCAACTGATTTGGTTCCTGGTGAGGACCCTTTTCCTGGCTTGCACATGGCCACCTTCTTGCTGTGTCCTTAAATGGGAGAGAAAGGGGGCAGAATGGTTCTTCAGTCTTGGCTTAGAAGGGCATTAATCCCATTGTGAGGATTCAACCCTCATGACCTAATTATCTTCCCAAGGCTTCATCTCCAGATAGTGTCACGCTGGGGGTATTAAATGATAAAATGAGACATATCTTTAAAGTCTAAACTTTATTTGAACAAAAATTGGTTCAGATTGGACAGTACCAAACTGGAAATCTTTAGGAAAGCTCTACTAACAGAACTATAGGGTAAAGACTTTTATAGAGAACATATGGAAGTAGCAAGGAAATTACTTGATTGGCTGTATCTCAGGCTGTTGCCTTATTTGGGAAAGCCTAGTTGTTTCCATTTCTTAACCTTGAGAGATTTACAGCCTTGGGTTTTGGTCGGCTTATGTAGGCTGTTAGAGCATTAGAGCCACCTACGTCTAATGGCCTCTTTGTTTAATTAATAGAGGTTAGGGCTTCCCCATATAAATTTTGAGGAGATGCTGCTTAGTCCATAGCCTCGACCAAGATATTACGTATGCACACATTTTAAATTTTAACCCCCACGGTGACTCGGCGAGGTGGTACCTATATCATCCCAGTGTCTAGATAAAGATATTGAGGTTTAGAATGGTTAATTAACATGCCCAAGATCACATAGTTAAAAAGTATCACAGTCTGGATTCAAGCCCAAATTTGTATTAAACCGAAGAATGGGGGAATTTCTTTGAAATTCTCAACAGAGCAGAAGCTCTCACCTTCTGCCCTGCACAGAGAGACAGAATTGTGTCTGTTTTCCTTGATTGCTCATTTTTGGGTGCTTGAAGCAGAATCAGGAGGCTGGTGGCTGCAGCAGGGTTGGTGGTGGGTGGAAGCAGGGGGAAGCTTGTGTGTTTGTGCACGTGCTACTGCCCGAGAAAGGGAAGTGATATTTTGAGTCTGATTCTTGGCCGAGTCAGTATTTGTGGGTGGGGGGTGTGGTAAGCAAATCACGCTGAATACCCTGCAGATTGCTATGGCCCGTGGTAAGAGGACAATGACTGGATTATACTCTTCAGCTTGCCTCTGCAATTTTATTATTAATGTCAATGAACTGAGTTTCTGCTGTGTGCGTCTGAGTATCTAGCCATCTCAAGCCTCTTCCCTGCCTCCTCATCCTCATCAATTCAGCTCAACTTTGCAAAACCACACCTTTTTGGGAAGCCTTCTCTGACTCCCTGGGATATTTGGCCGTGCTTTGTAGTTTCTTAGTATTCCGTTCATGTCTCTGATTCTCCATTTACCACATTGTGTCTGATAATCATTTCAGGTGTCCGTCCCATCAGTATAGTGCTTGGAACTGAGTGTAAATTACACAGTCCTAGAATCTTAGACCCAGAACAACCTTATTTCTCACTGTCTGTAGTCTTTCATTGGCCACATGGGAAAACTGAGGTCTTGTGAAGGCAAATAGCAAGCAGTAGAAGGACTGGGACAGGGTCTTGGGCATCCTGGTTCCCAGGTGAGTAGTTACTGCTTTTGTGTATTTAGCATCTCCTTAAGGCTAGATTCTCAATCATGGATGCCCATTGGAACAACTTGGGAAGTTTAAAATATACTGATGCCTGGGATGAAGTACAGAGATTCTGATTTTATTGGTTTGAAGTGCAGCCTGGACATTGGAATTTTGAGAAGCTTCCCAGGTGAGCTTGACATGCGGCTTAGGCTGCAAATCAGTGGCTTAGGGGCTCAGCACACCACTGTGAGCTTCGGAGATTTATCCTTGATTTGTGGAAGACTTAAACAAGTGAGCCCATTAAGCAACATCAAATAATAATAAAAATCAAACAAGTTAAACATTGCAACCCTCATGTTAAAATGCTCTCTTCCTAGATAAGTGCTCTCAAAATTAAGAAAAAAGCAAATGGCAATGAATTTGGAGACCTGCCACCTTTTATTCCTCCCATTGCTCAGTTAGTTCTTGGCTGTGTCCATCTTTGGCTTCTGGCATTTACTCTGTTGGTTTCATTGTGGTGTATATGCATGTGATTTAGAAAAATAATGCTTTGTTGTATCAAGATTCCTGAAATAATTAGTTGAGCGACAAGTGAGCAGTGAATGACTTAAAAGGAAAGATTGTAAAATATTTTACTGCCTTAGAATAGACCATAGAATCTTAGAGCTGGAACAATCCAGCCTACTCATTTGGCAGATGAGGAAATTAGAGCCCAGAGAGGTTAAATACTTTGCCTATGGTCACACAGTTGGCAGCTAGTCAAGAAATAATTCATTCATTCATTTAGTCATTGAAAAATATTCGAGTGCTCCTTTGTTTCAGCACTCCTCTGTGTTTGGGGGAAAATGGTAGGCAAGTGAACTTTTATAAGATGGTGCTATGTGTGTGTGTATATAGTAGCGAATCAGAAAACTTTAGCTGGCTTACATCTTCTGAAGAAAACACTTTGGTGGGGTGGTGAGAAGTTTCTTTGGACTATGCTTGTCATCATGGAAGGCTTTCTTAAAGAGGTGACCTTTAAGCCAAGACCTCAATTAGAATAAGAAATGAGTCGTCCATGAGAGCATTTGGGGAGGGAATGTCCAGATGCAAAAGCCTGGAAATGGGACAAGTTTTGTGCATTTGAGGTGCATGGCGGTGATGATATGGTTGGCATATAGGACCTGTTGGAGTGAGTGGTGGGATGAAGTTGAGAGGCAGCCAGTGGTCTGGAGGCACAGATGTCCTGATTCTAGTCCAGTTCTGGTAGGAATACACGAAGTCAGGCTTGGCAGGTTTTCATGCCACCTCATGTCCAAAGGTGTTTCTTGTTCTTAACCTAGACTCAGTGTTGATCTACCTAAAATATTTCTACTTAAATATAGCTTGGGTGAATGGGCATTCACAAGATGTACCTGAACCTGAAATTTAGATCCTATCCTGGTCACCAGTTCCCCTCTGCCTTTACATGGTCACTTACATTTTTAGAAGTACTCGTTTTTATTATTTTTAAGATTTTAATTTATTCATTAGCGCAAGCTAGCAAGAGCAAAGCAGGGGGGAGGGTCAGAGGAAGAGGGAGAAGCAAATTGCCTGCTGAGCAGGGAGCCTGGTGCAGGGCTCGATCCCAGGTCCCCGGGATCATGACCTGAGCTTAAATCAAGAGTCAGACGCTTAACTGACTGAGCCACACAGGCACGCTGCTTACTCAAATTTTAAAGTGAGACACAGGGAGGCATTTTGTGCCAGAACTGCTAGAATTCTTCACTGATATTTGCTTTTATGTATACGTGTCTACCCCACTCCCCTGCTTTGTTTTTCCTCACCAGATTGAGAATGCCAGCGAGGTGCTCATCACTCCCTTGGAGAAGTTTCGAAAGGAGCAGATTGGGGCTGCCAAGGTGAGAATTACTCAAACCTTGTTCTTGGATTCTAGGGCATTCTTGTTTTTTGATTTTATGTAGTGGCTCATCTGTTACTCACAAGTGTCTGAAGTAAGATTGAGTGGTCCACCCCAGAGCAGACATTCTAGTATTTTGTTACCTAATCGTTTTGTGCTAGTTCATAAATCATGCAAAGGTAGAAACCATGCCTCCTTATGTTAGTAGATACATCTGTGCTTGGACAAGGTAGAATTGTACTTACTGAAGAGGTCCAGGGCTCAGAGCGTAGACCAGGAGGTTGCAAACTGGGCCCTGAGTGCCTGGCAACCCTGTTCTGAGCTCATTTTTGCTGAGTGAAAATGCACCCTTTGTTGCCAGATCTTGAAATTTTTCAAGAGAAACAGAAGTCAGAGTTTTCTTTGAAATTTCCTGGTTTAAAAAGATGTTAGCAAATAATTTAAAAATACACATTCTACATGGTTCATGTCAAAAAGCAGGACTGCTTCAACTTCTAGGTCCCGGTTTGTTACCACTGACCGGGAGGGACTGTGGCTGAAAAGTGGCTGACTCGCTGCTGAAATTTCCTTGAAAAGAGTACAAAGGGGATCTTATTCATTTTTGAAAGACTGACTCTCCATGGTTCCCCTGCCTTGTGAGAAGTCACTAAGAAACCCTCCCTGGTTGGCTGTTAGTAGGGTGTTAGAGGCCCCTGCAGAGAAGGTGTTTGCACTGGGATCAATGAAAGCAGAGGGATTTTCGAGATTTTTCTTCCTATTTTCCTGGAACTGTTAGTCCTTCACCTGCAGTCCTTTGTGCCACCTGCAAGGAGCTTTGGGCAACATCACTCTGACATGTTTAGATTTTACTCAGCTGTGAAATGGTCTTGAGAGGTAGGTGCCTGTAGGTGGGAAAAAGGTAACTGCAATGTAATGAAGTGGGATCTGTCTCCCAGCCCCATGTCCCCATCTAAGCACATGGGCTTCTGAAAATGAATATGGTTAGGGTCTGAAAAAGATGATGTGCTGTTCAGTGAGGGTTCTTCAGAGGGATGGTTGACTGTAGTTTGAAGGATGGACCATAGCAAAGATTTTTCTTCCAGTTCTATAGCACTTTCTGCCAATTTTACACTTTATATTTATGAAGAAATTAGACCTCATGGGTTTTGTATCAGAGATTAAGGAATGTAAAATTAAAAGGGAGTCTTGTTCCACTAAGAGTTTGTCCAAGACTTTGAATTTGCCATGAGTGTCCCTCTCCAGGTTCTCCTATTTGTAGGCCCAGGGAGCGGACCTTCACTTTAGTGGCCTTGGGACCTGTGCTTCCTCCTCATGGTAACATACGACAGTGGCTCTGGACATTCTGAGGAGCTTAGAGGCAGCAGCAGAGCAGACAGACCTCCTTATCAAGTCCTCTTTCCAAGAGTCTTTTCTGCTTCTGACCTCGGATGCTTCGCACTCTGGCCTCTTCCCTCAGCCCTGGCTTTGGGCATTCTCATAGTTGCCACGGGGGAGGAACAGGTGTCTGAGTGGGCTCATTTGGGGTAATATCAGTGATCGTGATGACAGGAGCAGGTACTCTTCTGGGGGTGGGGTGGGGGTGGGGCTGTAAAAGGCGAGAAGTAGGAATATGAAAGAATTTGAATAAAATCATCACTTATCAAAACATGTTGCCTCTCATACATACTCTGATCTCTCATTCCTCTTGAACAGTGTGATGATATTCTGGATGATTTCTCCTCGTTCTGCCTGTGTCATTTCCTTTTTTCACTGTACTGGTTCCCCCCCTCCCCCTACATGCACACATTTATATCCTAGTATTCTCTACATTTAAGAGAAAGCAAAGAAACAAACTCTTCACCAGGCAGTCCAGGCAGCAGACTAAAGAATACCTAAGAGCCAGACAGGGCTCTTGAGCAGCCAAGTGGAAGTTTCTGAACTCGGCCTGTGTGGTGCTAAAATTACCCTTTCTCCCCCTGTGGTGCAGCTTTGGTTGCTCTAACAACCTGTTGCTACTTGTAAGAAGCAGAAGTGAGTGTTGGGGGTGGAGGCTGCCAGGGAGGAGGACTCCTGGCATTCTGATGCTAGTGTACCTGTCTTATGGTAGGGTGCGACCTTGGAGCTTGGCATCACTGTGGCCCTAGGTTCAGAATTCTGACTTTAGGGGAACTCGTTTTTCCTCCAGCCGAGCTGCATTTGGAGAGCCAGGCTCTACAGTGAAAGTAAAGAAGTTAGTGGTGAAGACGGGGCCCCAACCTCACTTGTGCCATTGGCATGCCAAGTTGGGGAGTAGCCAAACCTCTCCATACCTGTTTTCCAATCTGTAGGCTAAGGCCAGTGATAATATTGACCTCGTAGAGTTCTTATGAGAAAGACATGAGTAAATGCATATAAAGTGCTTAGAACAGTATTTGTCATATAGTTTTTTTATGTTAGCTGTTAGATTCAGTACATACAGTTCATTCATTTAAAAAAAATCTGTGAGTGCCTGCTCTGCGTCTGGCACCATGCTACACACTGGTTTATGGTAGAGAGCAAGTGAAGATGTACTGTGCTCGTGGTGTGGCTAGGGAGAACGACGTGAAACAAAAAGATGTAAATAAACATCATTTCAAATTGTGGTAAGTGCTATGAAGGCTTACCTTCATGGTACACTGGGCATGGGAAGGAAGTGGTGTTCTCAGTAAGGAGGAGGTACGTTCAGATGATGGGCCTCTTTGACCACTATCACCGCGATGGCTACCGTCATCACTACTGCCATCATCATCATCATTACCGAATTTTATTGTGCATTTTCTGTGGCTGGGCCCTCTGCTAAGCACAGTCTGTGGTTTAGCTCATTTTATCCTAATAGGCCTACGAGGAGGTGGTTGTTTTTATTCTTTGTTAGACACTCTCTGAGCTGAAAGAGGAAGGAACCTAAGTAGTCACCTCACGGAGTCCCCCTCAGTTTAATAGATGAGGGAACCCAGTTCTGAAGAGGGGCAGTGATTTGTTTAGAATCAGTCCATGGAGAATTGGGAATCATTTCCAGAATCCTAATTCTGTCCTTTGTCCGTTTAGGCGCCCCCAGTGGATTCCCTGGAAGGCGAGCACCATGTCGTACTTGAGTAGAGAATTTAAACTCATTAGCACGACCCTCCCAACTTAAGAACATTATCTAAATCTTTAGTAGAGTTATCCCCTGAGGTCTTGTTTCTCAGGACAGAAACTGCTTCCCTTTTTCTTTAGCTCTGGCTATCCTCTTGAACATGGAATGTGGCAGCTCGAGTTGCCAGAAAGTCACAGAACGCCGGTGACTCATGTTTGCTGGCCTTTTCTCACCTCTGGCCAGCTGGCCTTTTCTCACCTCTGGCCAGCTGGGCCATTCCAGCACAGGGTTCTCCTTGGGGCTTGCTGACAGGCTGCTGGAGTGGTTCTGTGAGCATGAAGCGGAGTTGGGGCCCTAGCTCAAAGTTGCTGGTTTTTATAAAGGAAAGAGTTGCTTGAGTCAAGTGTCGAGCCTGTACCCTTCCTCAAATTTGAAGGAGTAATGTCTCCTCAGGCTTTTTCCTCACTTGCTTCTGCATGTTGAGTTGTCCCTGTATATAAGTAGTCTTTCAAGCAAAATTCAGATTTGTAGAAATGGATACATGTCAGCCAAAAAGGGTATGTGATGATTCCATCCACTTTGAGAGGCTTAGAATTTTGCTGTTGACCAGACAAATGGAGTTATGATGTGGCAGGAGATTGTCAGAGCTTCAGGTGAGAGCTTCTCGGTGATTCCTGTCCCCTGCGCCACTTAGGCTTCCCAGTGTTAAGCCCAGAGCATTTGTACTTACTGCTCTTGTGCTCTAGAAGGGTCCACCCTGTCCCTCACATGATTAGCAGGTCTTATTTAGCTCACACTTCCTACCCAGTGAGGCCTCTCTTGAGTACCCTCTCTGTGGAATCTCTGACTGCACCTTATTTCCTTCATAGCACTTGTGGCTGTCTATAATTATTTGTTTCCTGGTTACTTGTGTTTGTCCTACTAGAACATCCCCACCATGAGGCTCGGGACCACTTCTGCCTTGTCCAGTGGCCAAAAGAGCCTGATACAGAGTGGTTACTTGTTACATCTGTGTGAAATGAATGGAGATGTCTCTCAGCTTCCTTATCTAGCTGCAAATATTTTTTCTCCTCTTCGAGGCCTCGGAAGTGCAGAAAAATAGTTCCTGTGGGTTCCACCTGAGTCAGGAGTAAGACTGATGGGCTCACTTAGTGAAATTGGTCGTGTTCATTAGGCCACTGTCCACTGTCTTCCAGCCCCATTGCTTGTCATCCCCACTAGAAAGTGGATGGAAAAGAGAGACTGCCCGTGAACATATGTCTCAGGTACGATTGAGAGGTGGGCTTTGGAGGCAGCCTCCCTAGCCTCAAATCCCAGCTCTGTCACTCTCTATGACTTTTTACAAGTTAACCTCCCTAGATCTAAGTTTTCTTATCTGTAAAATGGGAGATAAAAGTAGAATCTCAATGACTCAGTGACTTGGTGGGAAAGCAGGGATTATTAAGTGTATTATAATATTTATGTTATTTTTCATTTTGAAAGCTATTAATGTGGGATAATAAAAATTTCCCAAACATGGGAAGAAAATCACCCCTTATCCTGTTTCCTTAACTCGATTATTCTCATTTATTTTTCCATTTAATCTTTGTCTGTAGGTAGCTACACTCTGTGTAGGATGCACCAAGTTTGTATCATATTAATACTTCACATTACATTATGAGCAACTTGCCATATGACTACCTAGCCTTCCTAGTTAAATTAGATGTCCCACCCTTTAATTATCTCAAACCCTATCTTTGGGCACTGATGTTGCTTTGGCTTTTTTGTTTGTTTGTTAGTAAAAATGATGCTTCTGTGAATACATTTGTCTTGTTTTCTTTTGAATCTTTATTCATTTTTTAAATTTTTAAAATTTTTATTATTATTATTTTTAAAGATTTTATTTATTTGACAGAGAGAGACACAGCGAGAGAGGGAACACAAGCAGGGGGAGTGGGAGAGGGAGAAGCAGGCTTCCCGCTGAGCGGGGAGCCCAGTGCAGGGCTCGATCCCATGACCCTGGGATCATGACCTGAGCCGGAGGCAGACGCTTAACGACTGAGCCACCCTTGCGCCTGAATCTTTACTCATTTTAAAGACCCACATGTATTACTGTTGTGCCCAGGAATATTAGGTCTGTAACTAAGTTGGATCTGCCCTTTTTCTAGACTTGTCCCACTTAAGCTTTAAGTAGATCTTAGTGCTTTGGGATTAGCTTCATAGGTAACTTCGCTCCATTCTTTGCCCTTGAACATCCTTGGAGTTAGAAACTAGAAATTTCTGTTTCACAACTGAGGTTCTCAGCACGTGGAGTCCTGGCTTTGCCACTAGTAAATACTGGTATTTACCTTGTTTCTATCATTGTACTGGTTCCTTTATGATAGACACTCAAAACCTTGTTGGGGGCAGGGGTGGTTTGATTTAACGCACATTATTTGAAGAGTAGGAAAAGCTGGGTTGTCCGCTGTTCCGGGTCTGAGGGAATGGTGAAGCTATGAAATTGAGCAAGCAGAGGTCTTGACAAGATTGCTTTTATTCCTGTAACATTTTACTCTTTTTCTCCTCTCCTCTTTTTGCCAGGAAGCCAAGAAGAAGTATGACAAGGAGACAGAAAAGTATTGTGGCATCTTAGAAAAACACCTAAATTTGTCTTCCAAGAAGAAAGAATCTCAGCTTCAGGAGGTAAGATTATTTCACTAGTATCCTGAATAATGTGTTTAAGTTCTATGTGGTGCTGGGGATGCGTGCTTGTTCCTCTTTGCTAGAAAATCCTAGGGTTTGAAGAGATCTCACAAACCAGGAGCTTGACCCTGATCCCTCCTCAGATGCCTAATGCCTGTTATTGCCCTTTGTATCTTCCCGCTCACAGTACCCCTTTTCTGGCTGTCCAACCTACCAATAGGTGGGTGCTGATCAAGATCATGCTCCTCCTTGTTGGGCAGCCCTAGTTACTAAAATACGCTTCTTCCTTTCAAACTGAAGTCTGGTTTCCTGTTTCTGTAACCCTTTACTTTGATTCTGTACTTACTGCCTTACTTCTTAACTTCCTGCCTTATATTCGTGATTTGAAACGTTAGCATCTGAAACACTTTGATCATCCTTCTTTATTGTTGTTGTTATTATTATTACAGATTTTATTTGAGAGAGAGAGAAAGAGCGAGCAGGAGTGGGGGGAAGGGGCCAAGGGAGAGGAAGAAGCAGGCTTTTCTCCCCCACCTCCCCCCAGCAGGATCCTGACCTGGGACTAGATCCCAGGACCCTGGGATCATGACCTGAGCCTAAGGCAGACACTTAACTGACTGAGCCACCCAGGCACCCCTATTGTTATTTTTTAAAAAATTATTTCACCCCCCAAAAAATTACTTCAACCAGTACTTGACGTTAGTCTGTCTGTCTTGCTTTCTTTTCTTTTTTCTTTAAGGAGGATTTGTCATTCATATGTTTTATGCTTTGGTAACTTTGTTTCAAAAAAGGTAAAATATCTGACCTACTCTGATTCTTTCTGGATTGACATGAAGAGTAGTTCACTTGGAAAAATATCGCTTTGCAGCCATGGAGCTCTGATCATTTTCATTTAGTTCATGGAGATTTGCATGGCGAGGGTCTTGTTTCTGGGAGACAGAGCTGTTTCCTAGTGGAACTCCAAAGTTGACTGCGTGAATGTTATTTTACTCAACAGTTTGCTTGACCTTTCTCAGGTATGTGCTAAAAAGCGGCTGTGACTTCCAAGCTAGCCCGCATTCTTTTTTTTTTAAAGTTTTTATTTTAATTCCAGTATAGTTAATATACAGTGCAATATTGGTTTCAGGTATATAATCTAGTGATTCAGCAGTTCCATACCTCACCCGGTGCTCATCAGGACAAGTTGCACTCCTTAATCCCCATCACCTGTTTCACCCATCCCCTCCCCCCACATCCCCTCTGGTAACAATCAGTGTGTTCTCTTTAATAAAGAGTCTGTTTCTTGGTTTCTCTCTCTCTCTCTCTCTTTTCCTTTGCTTGTTCTGTTTCTTAAATACCACATGAATGGAATCATATATTTGTTTTTTTCTGGCTAACTTATTTCACTTAGCATTATATTCTCTACCTCCATCCATGTTGCTGCAAATGGCAAGATTTTTTTTTTCTTTACTGTCTGAGTAAAACTCCATTGTCTTATATACTGCATCTTCTTTATCCCTTCATTAGTCAATGGACATTCGTCAAGGTAGCCCTCATTCTTGAATTTACTTTGTTTTTGAGAAAATACCATTTAGTACTTCTATCAGGTGAAAGTTACTCTGAAGATCCTATGGTTGAACGTTAACAATGAAGATACCTCGGGAGATGGTGGAGTCGAGTCCCTTAACAACCAGGATTTGTTACCCATCCTCACTTAGGAACCCTCTGCTTTGATATGGGCATTTAAACCAGTTGTGTAAGTGACAAAGAGGACCTAATATCAACTCCAGCAACAAGTGTTTGTGGTGGGCTTTGCAGACCAGTTCTTGGCCAACCAACAGCAAATGAGCACTTGGTGTGAACTGTGGAGGGTAGAAAACACTAACCTATCTCTGAAGATCTTGTGCCTGACTGGGGAAAAGGCAGCAAACACATGGCAAGGTGATTCTTGAAGATAGCATAGCTACTCAGGTAAATCTTGTCAAATATGCTTGAGAAGGCTAAAGAAAACCTATTTTCAGTGGATTGTATACAAAGTAATAAATTCACTGAATGGTATCCCAGATGTGCATGGGGTATGAGCCCTGGAAGATGCCCAAGAATATGTGATCATTCATGCTAAGTGCATAAATTCATTCAGGATCTGTGCTGATGCCCTCACTTTTTAGTTACCCTTCTTTGAGTGTCATTTGGCATTTAGGGTTTGGAAACTACATTTAAGGAAGGTCTTTTTGACTACAACTCAAAATGACCGGAGCTGGCCAGCTCTATAGTTTCTAAGCAGTTAACAGAAGTCAGGGTCTTTAAGAGTTGAGCGACTGTGTGATTGTTTTAGCACCTACTGGTGTTGAGAGGCCCATAGTACAGTTAGTCTGTAGGCATGGCATTCCCCAGAGTGAGGATGCTTCTCCGATCTGTTCCCTCTGTTCCTGGATACTGCTGACATGGTCTGGGATGAGTCTAACATACTCTTTTAAGGCCATGCCAATATCCTCTCCTCCTGAGATAGCCCAGTAACTGGTCAGGACCAGAGCACTGGGTGGCAAAGAGATATCTTACTTCAGGGGGTGCTGTGCCATATTTTCACTGTGTGACCTGGGGCAAGTACTCATCTCTCTGAGCTTTTAGTCCCATTTTTTGTAAAATACAAAGTACCTATTCTGTCTCTTCATGTATGAGAAGGCAAATTATAGCTGCTAAACAAATAAAAAGTATTAACCCCAGGACTGGCTTGTTTTTTCCCATTCCCTGTTCCCATAGTGGATGGTACTCTCTTCCTCACTGATTTTAGTATGTTCAGGTTACTACAATAGAATACCATAGACTAGGTAGCTTATAGAGACAGAAATTTAACTCTCACAGTTCTGGAGGTTAGGAAGGCCAATATTAAGGCTCTGGCAGATTTAGCGTCTGGTGAGAGCTTGCCTCCTGGTTCATAGATGGCTGTCTTCTTGCCGTGGCCTCACGTGGTGGAAGGGCTAACAGAGCTCTCCGGGGTCTCTTCTATAAGGCCACTCATCCCATTCATGAGGACTCCACCCTCCACCCAAAGGCCCCACCTCCAAGTGCTGTCACATTGGGGGTTAGGTTTCAGCATATGAATGTTGTCAGGGACACAAACATTCAGTCCACAGCACTGACTTGGCCAGTTATATGTATTAGTGGACATTTCTTCATTACGTTCTTTTGTTATAGTTCGTTGTGTGCTTGTCTTTGACCCAGTCATACTTTCTAAGTACTTTGTAGGGCAAGGAGCGGGCTGCAAGTCTTTCTTTTTTTTTTTTTTTTAATAATTTTTTTATTGTTATATTAACCACCATACATTACATCATTAGTTTTTGATGCAGTGTTCCATGATTCATTGTTTGTGCATAAC